CACGCTTACATGCCACAGTAGAGGTGTCACAACACTTCAACGTGACCCGGCGCGCGTGCGCACCGGCGTTGGTTTCGTCGCGTCACGCCACCGTTGCCATGCAGGCGCCGTTCCTGCCATGCACTGGCAGGCGCGTGCAGCGTTGCTATGACGAATTCCCGTTTCAGCACATCCAGCGTTCCTCCGTCTCGGAAATAGCCAGATGCAGTGCTGTTAAGGTAACGCCTTAGCACCAAATGCAGCAGGTCGGACTTAGCGCCGGTTGCCGTCGGGCCGCGACGACGGACGCTGGTCGCACCAGTCGCGCTTGGCGACAGACTGTAGAGTGCTGGCGTTTTGCTAACGTAGCGTCGCTGTGCCCAGCGTGCACGTGCGTCAACGTTACGTTGGAATATATTGGGTCCTTCATGATGCCCTCGAGGCCATTTCGCTAGCTCCTCACATAAGAAATTGGGTGTTACTTGAAGTCAATACGCGACGAATCTATTACTGGTGCAAACATGATAATCATGAGATGCGTGTCATGTATCGACCTCTTAACGTTGTGGTGATGGGGAAGTGGCATATCAGCCTTTCTCAGTCATGCTTCGCATATCATCGATTCCCACTGTACGTGGGATCAGCCAATTATTTTTTAGGGGCGAAGCTTCCTAAAGCGGCACCCGTTGGTCCGTCGTAGTCGTAGTCATAGTGTGTAAGAAGTGTTACATTTTGACCTGCAAGGTGGTGCCAGTGTGAGATTTCTCCTGTGATTTGTTGAACAATAAAAAGTTCGCGGCGTGCGCGTTAACTAAAAACCGAATGCTTTTGTCTCTCATTCTCCATTAGGATCCATTGGCATGTTCCAGTCATAACAATCTGCGTGACTATGCACTGGCTTGTAAATGACACAGTCGTCTGCAAACAAACGTATCTGTACATCCGGATGGACACACTCTTGTATATCGGTTATATCATATTGGAAATAACATGAGTTCTAACGCCAATCCATGGGGTACACCAGAAGACACACTCAGGTTTGCTAATGATGTGAAATTCGCCGTTGGTTGGTTGGTTGCGAAACTTTATTGGTGAAATTTGCAGTGACACATTGTTTTCTATTCGTTAGTTAGCATGAAACCCAAGACACAGCGGCTCTGTCAATACCATCTGAATAATGTTTGGTAATGAGGTCAACATGAGGAACAAAATTAAACGCTTTCGATAAATAAATAAAATCACATAGATTTGGCCACCTATATAACGTTCGTCAGCATTGCCATGCGTTAATAGTGTTATTGCGCCACGGTTCACCATGCAGACCTGAAACCATGTCGGCGTTGACAAAGGGCTGTTTTATTCAGGGTGGGTAACAATGGCTTTGTAAACAATGTGCCCCAAAGCCTTGCAACACGTGCTCGTGAGTGACACTGGTCTGTAATTAGATTTGTGGAATGGCACAATATTTGCACAGCTCCAGTCATCAGGGATAGATGATGATTTCAAACTTACTGCGTAAATTTCGCGCAGAAATTTTGAGAACCAACCCGCGTATATCTGCCGAGAAATGTTTGCGATATGGCCAGGACCAAAATGCTTCTCTGTATATAACTTGCGCAGTACACGTAAGAAGTTTTTTGTTCACTTACCAATATTTCTTTCATCGCCACTTTGACGCCTTGTGATGGAAATGAAGAGAAAGATCCGGTTCTCGTAAATACTGCTTGAATGAACCAACTGAGCTTATTTGCTATGGATGTAGGCCCAATGAAGGTGTGATCACGTAATTTATTTTGTGAAAGCGTGTGTTGATCGTTTGAAAAGTAGCGCCAGAACTTCTTTGGTTCACTCGTCATGAACGAGGGTGGTGTTCGTATTCCGGCTGCGGCGGCTGCATTTCTGATGGAGGCAGAAATGTTGTAGACCCGTGTGCTCAGTATTGGGGCACGTTAAAGAACCCCATGTGGTCGAAATTTCCGGAGCCCTCGACTACGGCGTCTCTCATTATCATATGGTGGTTTTGGGACGGTAAACCCCACATTTCATATCTGGGTAGTGTTGTATTGAATAAACAATTTTTTGCATCATTCACTTTTGCTCGCAACACGTTCGTCAAAGCGGAAGCATCATGTCGGGGTCCACTTTTACTCCATCTTTTATTATTTAGTTTCAATTGAATTATATGACCTGTTACCCAAGGGTTCTGCCTGTCTTTACGTGTCTTCTTTTACGAAATAATATGGCACTCACAGAAAGTTATTATCTCATGAAATTTCGATCAAAGCCTCTCAACATTATATATTTCATCGAACACCGAATAACTAGATTCTAAAAAAATTGAGAATAACAGCATCACATGCGCTTGCGTATTATTTAGCAAAAATAGAGGCAGGTGAAATGTATTTTTTCTATTCGAACAGGGCAAGTCATAGCTACTAACGTGTGATCTGATATTTGTTCGTCAAAGCTGCCTGCTAAGTTATCGAGTGAATTAGTTACAAATATGAGGTCAATTAGGGAGGATGACATATATTTGAATATGGTAGCAAATCTAACAATCTGGTTTAATGAGTAACCGAGAACTGGGAACAAAAGGGATTCAGTGCTTTTGGATTTTCTGAAATGTTGACACATTAAACCAAATTTGTCCCTGATAGATTTAAATCTCCGGTTACAATGAGGTTAGTTCGGACATAGGTGTGTTTGGCAAGGTAGTAATTAGGTATTTCTAGTTAAGTTCATGAAAAGTTCTTTAGTCGGTCGGTTTGTCGTTTTTGTACTGTCACGCAGCTTTACATAAGGCCTCCAGCAGATGCTGTGCGATGCCTGTGAACCACAGCTTGCGGGTAGTAATTTTCACAGACAATTTGAAAAGTGGGATAATTCATGGCTGCATGGCTTCGTTTGTAGATTAGTTTGAGCGCTACGCTATTTTAACAAAGTGCTTACACAAGAAATAGTGAAAGCTCGAGACTACTTGTAATACGTGAAGCGGGCTCACTTAGAGACGAGGTGGCTTCATTGTGACAAAGCACGCCATGATAAGCATTTTGGGGGCTTTGTTGATAGTGACATACATCGTCCAGTACTACACAAGCGGGATTAGTGCGAGAGAAGTGACCGGTGAAAGTACGTACAAGTTTTAAAATAGCATTGCTGTAGTAGGACGAGTACTGCCTCTCAGGAACGCTTGAGAAAAAAAAATGGAGCAAGTTTTCAGCATCTTGCGTAACTTGGTACCCGATGCAGCAGTCATCCCCGAGTCATCAGCTCCTGTATCGATGAGTGCGGTTATCGGATGATAGTCGATGAAAACGGTGATACAAGTAGACGTTCCTGCATCAGTTGTGCGCCATTAAAGGGCAACTCACGAGGTTTGAGAAATTCGAGCTGACAAGCGCAGTCTGTAGATGAGGCGTTAATGATCACGTGTGCCCAAATTCGCAACGCTACGTGCTTCTGAAATGGGTCAAAATTAAAGATGAACACTGCTCCTCCTTCCTTTCGCGGTCGCGCACCAAGAGAATGAGGGCATGACGTGCACGTGTGAAAGGCTCTACATACACGGCAATGCAGTGACGTTGGTCCTCTACCTAGACGAATATGCTTTGACGTTTCCAACAGTGGCACGTTACATGGCGAAAATCGTTTAACACAGCATGCGTATACTTTATGTATTTGGTGCCTGAATAGTTTAATAAAATGTCTACATAAATATTGAGACGTAATAAGAGAATGTGAGCGTTCTTTTTTCTTCAGTTTTTCACCGTGAATTGCAACGAGATGCGGGGCTAATGTGCTGGCATTTCGTATGCGTTCGTGTCTTCGCAGCCGCATTCCGCGCATCGAGCAGACGACAGCCGTGGAACGCTCCTACACGTTCGCGCACTCATTGTGCTCGTCTATTCTACCACGTTTATTCCACCGTTTTCAAACCAACCCGCAGAAGCAGGCAGTAGACTTCGAAACAATGCTCGTCAACAAAAAATAAAAAAGAAACGCCGCTCGTGTGCACGAGGGTTGGGCTTGTTCCGGCACGTCATGTGCACGTGACCGGTAGCATCGGAGCATATTTGTCAGTTCGCGTCACAGCGGCCTCAGCCACAAAGGTCGGCGTCCTCATTTTTCCTGGCGTGGACTTGAGGCACTGGCACAAGTAAACTCAAAGGCTGCTCGGACGTTGTTTGTTGGTGTTAGCCGACAGATTAATTGAACATGGTTTTCATCACTGACGACCAGGAGGGTGATTACTATCTACTAAGTGTATTTAACTTCGTGTGGGCACTCACCATAGCGTGGACAACGCGCATACGAGCAGAATAAGCGCAAACATATTCTTCGGTAGTAGCAGTCGAGGTACGTGTCCAGCTTCACCGCAGTGGTAGCAGAAATGTCGATTATCGGGAGCACGCCATGCAGTGAATTTCTGCGGCCCAGGATGATAGTTGGTCTGCAAAGATGGGTGGTAGATTAAGCTTCGAAACGTCAAGAAGTCTCACCAGGTGGATGCAATCAACAGGCCATTGACGGCGTAGAGACCCCTAGGGTTTCTGCGTAGAATAGCGTGGGATGTTCGGCTCGGGATAGTGGTCAGAGATAGATTATTTTCTGACTTCAGGGCGATTGAGGTCGTTGATAGCTAGGACTCTCGGAGGTGCCACTGCATGACACTTCTATAACTCCTCTCGGACAACTTGCCGTAATAGCTCTGTAAGGATCTCCCTGTCATCACGTTCAGGCACAAGCGAGCTCGCAGCGGACAAGGCAGTCTATCGCTCATACTGAGATAACCGCTGCGGAAGCATGCGTCCTATGATTGTTGCCTCACGGACGAACTCACACACTGCTCTTGGTGGGTTGTGCACAATGCCTGTGAAAAAATGTTCGTTTACGCCTCAGACTAGCAGTCATACTGCTAACGTGAGGAGTAAATGACTGTTCCTACAGGCAGGTCAGCCCGTCGGAACAGTCGCGTAATTTCAAACATGAACTCTTGTTGGGCATTTAAAATCATGCAGAGAGTGCCTGCTCCACTATTTTTCCGCTCGGGGTTGCTGCAAGCCACAAGCAGTAGCGGATGGAACTCCTGCCAACTGACAGATGCAGCCTTGCGATTTTCGTACCACACTCTTGCCTCATCAAGGAGGGAGATGTGGACGTTTTTAAACATAAGGTGAGTGTCCCAGTCATTGATGGTCGCAGTGGTCCAACCAGTAATCCACATTCTCACGGGGATCGCCATGGGTTCGACGTGCAAGGCATGTTGACGATGCAAGGTATGGCAGCGAATGGGTCATTGTCATGCTAAGTTTGGGTTGCGGTCACTGAAAACAGTTTCCTCGCTGAACTTGCCAGGGAACTGTATTGAGGTGGTAGACCTTAAAGGCGGTGGCTGCGTCAACAGATTTGAGTGAACCCTGTTGTACTGGCGTCAGTTGTTTTGGTGTGGAACTAGAAGGCATAAGATGTCGGATTAACTTTTGTTGTGAGAAAAAATGACAAAAAAGAACAGAGAGAGAGCAAACGATGGTTCACTTTTAGCCACATCAGTGACCAACTCTTCCGTATCAGTCTGTACCACCACAAGGGCGTGGGAATAAGCTTTGATTATAACTTCGCAAACAAGTGGTCTCTAAACGAACCACGCTCCAGTGAGCGTGCACTCCCGATGACCTAAGAGAACTTTCCTGGCACCTGCGCAAGTCACACAAGTTTTCTACTTTATAGTTTTTGCTTGCATATTTTTCCCTCTCTAAATTGTAATTTTGGGCGTCTATGCATGAGACGACGAATAATCTATAATAATGCAAGTGGGGGGCAGCCTATATTTCAGCATTTTGTTGAATTTTTTTCGTGATGCTAACAACACCACTTTAGGTGTATTTCAGGGCTCGCCATTGATGTGTGAATGAGGTGTTCACTTTTATGTTGAAGTGTTGCGAAATTCCTGTACGTTGTGACTGCTGTTATTCTCTGATTTATAGGAAGTTTTTAACTCTCAAGGTACATTGTGAAACCCAATAACTTTCATTTTTCGTCATAAAATGTGAGCGTTTCTGGTAAAATCATGTTCACCTTAGGAACAGCTGTAGTAAAAATTTGAAGGGACATAGAAGTAAACACAAACAGCTTAGAAGGACACCATTAGCTTAGTTTACCACAACTGCTTATATGTGTGTGTGAGTGCGATGCTGTGTCCACAAATTACAGTGCTGAAAGATGAATTCAAGGCTAACTATTATAAAGAATATGTGCAGCGCGGTAACATCACAATGTCACATGAATACTCATCATGTATTCAAATTGATGAACTCCAATTAATAAAATTCTATTTCAGAAAAATGCATAATATGACGGAGGAACCCAGGAGTCTACGAGCAACGCATCTAGACTATGGATAGCCTCCAGTGATGAAGAATAACCCTCGTCAGACATGTACATCGGACGACAGAGTAGAATACTAATAAGTGCCTTGCATGTTTATATAAAATATAAGAACTTATGCTAGTGTCTGAGTTTGTTTATTTAAAGTAATAAATGTTCAGCTTGGTAGTGCACCAACCATGAAATGATGAAGCCTACTCTTCTGGTGTGACAGGCTAGTCATTGGTTACCGTGTGTCAGGTATCAAATCTTCCATAATGTGAAAACCGCCGTCCCCAGCGTGATACCAGTACGTTTTTGGCACTGGTACACAATGTTAAACTGGTATCACAGTGGGAAGTATATGGGTAGCACTAATAGGGTCGCTGACTTCACAACTCTGACGCGGGTGCCTACTGGACGCTGGTATTGCTCATCATCATCTACTTGGGTGGTGCGGCAATACTCTGGTATGAGACGCATCGAAAGGCGTTGACTAGCTGGGACTTCAGCAGCAGAAATTATTCTCTTTATTTGGGAAACCCATCGGAAGACAAGTGGCCGCAAAGATGGAGCTCACGACTCGTGCCCAGACATCCACAGAGCCGTACATCGCGTATATGCAGGCCGGGTTGGCTTTGTGCCACAAATTTGACAAGTATATGCTTGAGGAGGACAAAGTCGGAGACATCGTGAAAGAAATTGCCAATTGTGTCTTCAATTCGTGGCTGCGTAAGAACTGCTTCGCAGTCGAGTCGGTCCTAGACGAATGTTCTCGCTTCGAACAGGCAAAAAGTAGGCACATTGTTCACCAATTTGACCTCCTTCCCAACACAATGGCTACGTCTTCCTACGTCCTTTGCAAGATTTGCCCACACTAGAACAACTAACAGTAATCAACTAACCCTCATTCAGTTCCTGGTTCTTACTCGTTAAACTTCTTGGAAAGAAGGACTATAGCTGGATATTCTGTCTTGACTACCACCATCTGAATAAAATTAACAAAAAAGATGTGTATTGTCCACCACACATAAATGATGCACTCGATTGCTTCCACGGCACTAAACATATATGTTCGATAAACCTCCACTAAGGCTACTGGCAGATGGCTGTAGATGACCGACACACAGAAAAGGTAGCCTGGATGACTCTTCAAGGACTTTATTAGTTTCAAGTGATGCCGTTTGAATTATGTTCGCTCCCGCGATTTTCGAGCGCAAGTAGGACCCACTCCTTTGAGAAATGAAGTGGTCCATCTCTCTCTGATATCTTGACGGTGTTATTGTTTGTTCTACTACAATCAAAAGCTTTTTTCCCATCTGTCAACACAGATTCAGGTTTTCTGGCATGCCAAACTGCAACTTAACTCGTCCAAATGACACTTTGTACAACGGCAAATCAGCATAATTGGCCATTTAGGTAATGCGGCGAGCGTACAAACAAATCCTACAAATTTTTGAGCAGTTCGCGACTTCCTCACACCCTTCTTAGCCAAAGAAGTTCGAAGTGTTGTGGGACTGTGCTCATAGTTTCGTCGTTTTGTTGAGAGTTTAGCTGAAGTAGCCTGTCCTCCAACCTGCTTACTGAAAAATGATGTCGAAATCACGTGGCGCCAACAACAAAAATCGCCTTCTCGTGACTAGTTGCCATTCTTACCAATGCACCAGTCCTGGCACACTTCGACCCAACTGTTACCACGGAGCTTCATACTGATGCTAATGGCCCCGGCATAGGCACAGTGCTGGCGAAACAGCAACAAAGAATACGCAGCGTCGTCGCGTACGCAAGCTGACTATTGTCGCACTCGGAACAAAATAACGCAATCACAGGATGCAAGTACTTAGCGCATCTGGGGCTTGCGAAATTTCGACCATATCTGTATGGTAGACACTTTTCACTTATAATGGACCATAATTCTCGTTGCTAACCATCCTCGCTCAAGGACCCTATAGGATGTCTTCCTCGCTAGGTGCTGCCCTTACAAGAGTGCACTTTTTTCCGTATTCTATTGATCCGGGAAACTTCACAAGGATTCCGACTGCTTGTCCCGTCACGCAGTTGATCCCCCCTAAAATGCTGAAAGGTCGGCACGAAGCCCCTGTTCTCTTATATACATCCTTTACCAACATTGCTTCTGAACAACGCCACGGCTCCTCTTTGCGCCATATTATTGATGGTCTGGAATCTCCGCATCCCGACCCCTTCTTACAGGTGTTCGTATTCACAACATCTTGCACTGCTACAACGCCCTTCCTGATGATGCTGTGCTTTTGCTTGTTGTTCCTGCACATCTTCACTCAGAAGTTTTGGCTCAGCGTCATGATGCACCCGCCGCGGGATATCTAAGGGTGTCACGCAAGTATGACCACGTTTGCCGACGATTCTTTTGACATGGCTTCCAACGTTCTCGGTGACAGCACGTTGCGCCATGCGACCTCTACCAGCGTCATAAAACACCCGCGCTGGAGCCTGTTGGTACCCTTTAGCCCATTGAAATACCAGATGAGCTATTTTTTCAAGTTGCCCTCGATCTTTTAGGACGTTTTCTCGAGTTAGTCATCGGTAATTAGTAGATTGCCATCGCTACCGACTACGCAATGTGGTATACTGTTGCACGAGCCCTCCCCACCAGCTGGGCTACTGATGCAGCCCAAATGATTTTTCATCGCTCATTCTGTGTTATGGTGCTCCTCGTCACTTGATCACTGACCATGGCCACTCTTTTCTATCTAAAGTAGTTGACGACCTCCTGCGATCCTGCACCACCCACCAAAAGTTCACTGCAGCACACCACCCACAAGCCAACGGCCTCAACGAACGTCCCAACCATACACTGATGAATGTGATAGCGATGTACGTCTTTAAGGATAACAAAAATAGAGTCATCTACTTACCTTTCATTACCTTCGCATACAACGCTTTATGTCATGGCACAGCTAGATTTTCATTTTTTACCTAGTGTTTGGCTATGACCCGCCTTTACCCATGGACATTATGCTTCATTCTGACGCCATCTCATCGACTGCCTGTGATGGTAATGCTCTGGCCCGTGCTGACAACAACCGCCAAGTCGCGCCAGGTCGTTTCTCTGCCTCACAGGTTGACCAAAAGTGTGCTGTTGCCGGCACCACTACGTGCAATATTTCACGTGGTCTTGATGTGCATGTCGTGTCGGTCTCTGCGAAAAAATCAAGTCCCGTTACGTCGGCCTCTACAGAGTCATACGGAAGGTGATGAGCGTTACCTATGAGATTACTCCCATTCGTCCCACGTCAGCAGGAGCTTCAGTCCCTACCAATATAGGGCACATCTCAAAACCTAAACGATACTACTCACTCCCACGGAATAAATCACTCCTGAACGGTGCTTCTGGCAGCGGCTAGTAATGCCAGGGGCTGAATACACACCTGAAAGTGACAAGCAGCGTTGCACAAACTTGCTCGCAAATATATTTGACGCATGTCTTTTCTTCCCTGTTACAATATTTATAAGTTCATACATTCACCAGTATGACCAGGAAGAAGCTGATATTCTTTAAAACTTGTAGTGTACATGTACCCCAAAGGGCATGGCAACTAGCATGGGTTCCATCTTAGTGAGCGATAGGGTCACGTTCTCCATCACCTCGCGTGACTTACGTCATTGTACACGCGCGTTCACAGAACTAAGACACTGAGAGCAGCATTGCAAGTACACAGTACTGCTCCCAAACAAGACGCAACGCTTCATTGCCTGCGGCAGCACCAAATACTTAGTACATTGGCCGCTGCAAAAAGGGCGGGAAAGTGAGAGAGCCTTATCCACGCGACGGGTGAAAGTACAACACAAGGGGGGCCGTGAGCAGGTCTTAGTCGGCAAAAGAGTTTACGGTGACAAACCGCTGACAAAAACTTGCCCTCGTGACTAGCTGTGTACTCTCACAATCGGTGACCACAGGGCCCGATCGCTCGAGCGAGCGCAAACTCCGCTTGCGTTGGCTTCGAGGCGTCCGAGTCGGCGTAGTACGACCACATGCGAACACACTGTACAACTCTTCGGCATAGCTTTCGAAAAAGGCAACAAAGGTAAGCGTTCGCAGTCGGTGCAAGGCATTGTTGGCTAGTCCAAGCGAGATCTAAGAGCAAAGGGAACAACATTGGTAGGTAAAGCGTAGCAGCATCCCCCCATTAAACAGTGTTTTCAATGAAAACCGACTACAAATCATTTTCCAGTGATGCCAACAAGCTGGTGGTTCAAGTAGAAGGTGCATATCATATCCCTTCCTACTACACCACCGAGATAGTGGCACAAATTCTCAATCTTCATGTCCACACAGATCCTACTATTTTTTCCACATGCTCATTTATAAAACAAAAACCAGTAGTGAAAGAATGTGGAGGTTTTTTCAGAAAGATCTGGTTCTACTAGTTTTCATTGGTGGTAATACAGTCTCAAACGTCTGTCACAAGTTCTGTATGATGCATGACGTTTCGTTGCTGTCGTTCGATGAGATTAGTGATATCACTCACCTCTATCGAAGTTTGTTTTTGTGTGTGTGTGGTGCGTCGCAGTGAAGGCTTCAAGACCACATCTGTGAGATTTTCTAGTTGCAAATTCAGACTGCCGGATCCCGTCCTGAGAAGTTCTACACGACTGATTGGCGCTACTTGCAGCACCTTACAGCACCTATAGAAGAAAGCTTCTCATTGTACAAGAAATTTACACGCTTCCCGCGCCTCTGAGAAGCTTTCTGGCCTGTGCAACTCGGCCTCTTGAATGACAGAAAAAAGAGGCTTTAATAGAGACCATTAGCGAAAGTTAGTTCAATTGATTCTGTGCACCATGTCCTTCATTTCACTGACGTGTGACAGAATGCATGTGGGCCAGACGGGACGCTGTGTGAATGACAGACTCTGTGAGCACTATTATAGAGTGTACACCGGTGTGTCGGGGCACTTTGACATTCACGTGTGGGACTGCAAATGTCGCCCCATCTTTGAAAAAACCACGGTCCTTGCACACAATCAGGACCCTTTGTATTGCGAAGTGTTTGAACTTCGCAATACAAAGCAAACTACTTAACAAATTATTGCGAAGTATTTTAACTTCACAATACGACGCGAAGTATTTTGACCTCGCTGTTAAAATACTTCGAATTTTAACTAAACAACATTTATGAAACCATAGCGCCCTTGTAATTTTTTAGCTCGACCATCGAACAAA